CAAACTGAGGGTTCTAGAGGGGAAGGGGGTGGGAGGATGGGTTAGCCTGGTGGTGGGTATTGAGGAGGGCACATTCTGCATGGAGGACTGGGTGTTATGCACAAACAATGAATCATGGAACACTACATCTAAAACTAATGATGTAATGTATGGGGATTAACATAAGAATAAAAAAAAAAGAATTGCCGGTAATAATGAAAATTTGAAACACTTTAAAATAACCAGTAAGCATAGAAGATTCAATAAATGGTGATCTATCAGTGGCCATTTTCTGTGGCCATTAAAAAATTATGTTACTGAAAATATTGAAGGAAATGATTTTGTAGATTGCTGCTATCTGAAGAGAAAAAAGCAAGATAGTCTGATCCAAATTCTGTTAGCTATGGATGTATACACACACTCACATACATTAACACCAATCATAGATCAGTATTTTAAGAAACCTCAGTTCTAGGTAATGGGGTTTATGGGAGATTTTTATTTTCTTACGACTTTTTGAAAGTGTTTTTCCATATTTACCCAAGTGACTGTGTTATTTTTACAGTTCCCAGAAGAAACTGAAGGGTGAATGCTTTTCTGAGGAAGGGCAAAACTCCTGAACCTTTTCCATCAGGGGCCCTTTGGTTGGCTGTAGTGGGGAGGTTACTAGATTTCCAAGTCTGGCTGCAGATTTATAAACCCCACTGCTAATTTTTAGTTCCCCACCGTGATTGTCAGGCCCTGGGGATTGATTCAGACTAACTGGTTGCACGTGAGATTAATTAGTAAACCAGAAGTCTCTGTGTTAATTTATGAAGAAGAATATTCATGACTTGAAAACAAATATGGGTCCTTTATGTATTTACTGACCATCTTCCTTGTACCAGGCACTCTCTGAGTGGAGAGGTCTTTCAAGGTCCAAATACCAGCGTATAGTGTTGCCTGGTAAGAACAGAATCAAGCACTAGGTTCAGGATTTTTTTAAAGACCTGTATCTAGCCAACTGTGGCAACCTGAATGGTCTCGTCTCTGCTCAGGAGCTTTCTCTGCCTACGAAATCAAAACGAGTCACCGTGAATCAGGGTTCCCTCTCCTTCATGCTTAAAACACACGTTGTCACACTCATCTTCCCCAATTCATGTTTTTTGTCCTAGACTTCTCTCAGTTTATAGTTGTCATGACAACTAAGCTCCTGGCCCATTTTCCTAACAGGCTCCAGCATTGTGTTTCCTGATTTATTTCCCTCTGTGGATTAATTTAGAGGTTGCCCTCCTTCTAGGGGCTCCAGGGTGAGAGCTTACAGGGAGAAGTCAGGTAGGCTCCTTCCAGGCACTTGTAACATGAGCTCTCTGGGGAGACTTCCCTCTGGAGAGCTGACCTCACGAGCTCCCTGTGGACCTCTCCGTCTCAGAGGCCAGCCTTCTCTAACTTTGTCCCTAGATTTGGAGACCTTCCTTTGACCTCAGATTTTGATATCTATCTACTATTTGCAGATGGTTTTGAGACCTCTACCCCTAGACATTTTTACTCATAATGCAGACAGTAATGTGTTTTGATGTGCTTGTCTAGCCAGCTGATTATTAGAGATGCAATAACCAGGACCCAGATAGGAAGCCAGTTTAAATTATTTATAGAGATAGTTTACAATGGTCAGAGGACTTCTAATGGGAGGAAATGATCCTGTAAAATCAGTGGCAAATTTTAAGAGTAACATATTTTTATTGCAGAACATTCAACGGTACAGAAGTATTTAAAGTAAAAAGTGAACATCCTGCCTGTTTATCCAAGCCCATCTGCTCCCACAGTTGATGTTTCCTTCTAAACTAGTTTACAACACACACACCCCCACATATGGTTTTGTTTGTTTGTCTGTGGGATTGCATATTGTTGATGTTTTTAATAGGACTGTAGTATACATCCTTTTCTGAAACTTGCTCTATATTCACTTAACAATTTAACCCATACATCTAGACTATCAGGATTCAAATCCCAGCTTTTGCCACTCAGTGGCTGCCTCTCTGAACCTCAGTTTCTTTATCTGTAAAATGGGGATAACAATGGCACCTATTTCATGGGGTCGATGTGAGGAGTAAATAGCTTAGATCGCGGCCTGATGTATTCTACACACACTCAGTGAGTGGGAACTCGTAGTATCATCGCAGTCTTCTCAGTGGATATATAGCATTTCATTATATGGTAGACTGGGATTTTTTTTTAGTTTGACTCTTCGTCCTTGATAGCGCCTAGATTTCACTTGCCACAAGTAAGTCTTACCACAAGACACCTGCTATTGCACTAGGGCTTACAAAGGTAGTGCCCAGCTCTGGGCAAGACATCCACTCTGGTGAGTGAATTCCAGCTACAGCCAGCTCCAGGGCATGGGAATCTCAGGTGAGAGGTGGAAGATGGGGTCCGAGGTGAGGATAGAAGGTTTATGCATGTTTGTGTTCCCAGCAAATCGCCATCGCTCGGGAGGGCGACCTGCTGACCAAGGAGCGGTTGTGCTGTGGCCTGTCCATGTTTGAGGTCATCCTGACACGCATTCGTAGCTACCTGCAGGACCCCATCTGGCGGGGCCCACCACCCACCAATGGCGTCATGCACGTCGACGAGTGCGTGGAGTTCCACCGGCTCTGGAGTGCCATGCAGTTCGTCTACTGCATCCCCGTGGGGACCAACGAGTTCACAGCTGAGTGAGTACCCCCAGGGAAGGCTGGGTCACCGCCCCACTTGCATGTCTCCCCCCAACAAGAGTCTCCAGGCTACCAGGGCTCAACTAGAAAGAGGGCAGGGGTGGGCTGTCCAACAGCTGTTTCTGGAATACCTATGATGTGCGAGGTACTGGACAGACACCAATGCTGAGCAGAAGTAGATGGTTTCTGGCCTCATACAGCAAAGGCGGGAAGGGTGACAGGTACCTGAGAAGTGAGCTGAGTGGGTTATTGGAGTGTAAATCACACAGTAGAACTGAGCCTTGCACGTTGCCTGGGATTCAACTCTTAGAGGGGCGGGGGGCACATTCCAGGAAAGGCAACGAGTGGTTGGAGGCAGAGAGGGAGTGTGTGCATTGGGACTTAGGACCCCACAGGGCCTGGTCTTTCCAAGACCGGAAGCTGCTCCAATTGGGCAGACAGGAGGGAGCCCTGGGGAGGTTTTGGCATTGAGAACCCCAGCCTCCACCTCACCCCTCACAAAACTGCAGGGTTCGTAGAACAGGGTGAGGCCTCCTCAGTAGAGGGTCATGCCCTAACTTGTGCACATGAGCCTGGCTCGTGAGGCCTCTACTCCTGAAAACCAGGAAGCCTCCGAGAGGAACCCAGTCCTGTCGTCAGAGAAGACAGAAGCAGATTCCAGTTCTTCCTTCCCTCGCCCAGCTACACATTGAGACCAGAGTAGGGAAGAAGGCAGACAAGGTCTGCCCTGCAGGAGCCGAGAGCTCTTGAGAACAAGGCCAGAGAAGGCTTCCCTGAGGAAGTCGTGTTGGGACTGGGCTGGGATGTGCAAGCTGTTTTCAGAGCAGCTGCTGGGCCTGCACTTCTAGCCGGAGTGATGAGGAAGCCGGGAAGCTTGCCCACTGGGCTGCAGCTGCTGCTTGAGGATAAGAAAAACAGCAGAGAGATGACCCCACAGCCTCTGGATGTGCCCAGGATGTTGCTGGGTGCTGGCGGCTTGCGGCTGAGCTTCGCCAGACCCAGAGCCCCGGCAGCCCCCACGCGCCGGCTCCCCCACTCGCCGGCCCCCCCACTCGCCGGCCCCCCCCACTCGCTGGCCCCGTGCTCACGCGGGCCCCCACGCGCCAGCCACCACTCGCCGGCCCCCACACGCCGGCCGCAGAGGCCCCTCCACACACCACGCCCCATCCCCGCTTGTCCCCGCCCGTCCCCGCCCTCTGGGGCTACAGCCACCACCTGGTCTTCTGGTTTAAAATGGTCCTTCCCTTCACAAGCATTTGCCGGCTCCTTGAGGAGACCAAGTCTCATCCGAATTCTCATCAGCCGCAGAAGTCTCAAGGACTGGTTGAATTTTTTCCCTGCAAATTTATCTTCTTTCTCTTAACTCAGTGGCTGACAGGCTGACACCTCCTTGTGGCTAGAGGGACTTAAGCCATAGTCCCTGGAACAAATGAATGTACGCTCACCTCTTCCCTTGCACCCACTTTACAGATTAAGAGGACTGACCCAGGGACTGGCTTGCTCGCTCTCTGTACTCCTGGCCCAAGATGAGGGCTGTCCCCACCACCCTCCCCTGCCCCTCACTTCAGCTGCTTCCTCTCCCCACCCCCAGGCAATGTTTTGGTGACGGTCTGAACTGGGCCGGCTGCTCCATCATCGTCCTGCTGGGCCAGCAGCGTCGCTTCGACCTGTTTGACTTCTGTTACCACCTGCTGAAAGTCCAGAGGCAGGACGGGAAGGATGAGGTCATTAAGAATGTGGTAAGCAGCCAAGGGCTGGGGCCTGGGAAGTAGGGCCAGGCCTGACAAGCCGGCTTTCATCTGAAAAGGAGGGCGAGCTGCTTATGGAGGCCAAGTCTCCGCACCACGGGTAGGTACAAAGATGCTCAGCGGCCGGGGACCTTCTGGTCGGAAGCCATGAGTCACTTGCTCATAACCTGCTGGGATGAATCAGGTCACCCTGCAGGGCTGGGCCGAGCTCCAGACCTGAATTACCCCTTCCCCGTGCCGGTCAGACGGCCGATGCCGGCTCCTCGTGCACACACACTCTCACCGAACGTGGGAGTCACGCAGGCGCGGGGCTGGGAGGAGGCTGGTCGTGGCTATCGAAATTGGGCCGGGGGGACGGCGGGGAGGGGTGGCCAGAGAAGGCTTCCGGTGGAGGTAGCGCTTGGGCCGAGTCCAGAATGACCACCAGCCAATAACCAGGCGAAAAATGGGGTGCAGGGTGGGGAGGATGTTCCAGACAGAAGGAGCAGCTAGCTGTAGCAAAGGCACAGAGACCTGAAGGTGTGTGGCTACAACAAAGAGTGGGTCTCTAGGGCAGCTGAAAGGAGGAGGAAGCAGGAGCTACCCCATAAAGCGTTTTTTGTTTGTTTGTTCGTTTGTTTGTTTTGCCATTGTGGTGGAATATACGTAAAGGTAAAAGTTGCCATTTTAACCATCGTTAAGTGTACGGTGTGGTGGCATTAGGTACACTCCCACTGTCTTGCTGCCCTCACCACCCTCCACCTCCAGAACGTTCTCAGCTTCCAGAGGGAAACACTGTGCTCACTGGGGAGACAGAACTCCCCAGTCTCCCCTCCCCCAAGCCTCTGGTAACCACCCTTCCACGTTCTGTCTCTAGAGTTGACTAGCACCTCATGTAAGAGGAGTCCTACAGTATTTATCCTTTGATGACTGGCTTATTTCACTTAGCATAATGTGTTCAAGGCCACCATGTGGTAGCTTGGATCAGAATTGTCTTCCTTTTTAAGGCTGAGTAATGTTCCATGGTATGTATATACCACATTATATTTACCCATTCTTCCTTCAGTGAACACTTGAGTTGCTTCCACTTTTTGGCTATGTGAATATGCTGCTGGGATCATGCGTGTATAGATATTTGTTCAGGTCCCTGCTTTCATTTCTTTTGAGTAGCTACCTACAAGAGGAATTGCTGGATCATGTGCTAATTCTGTTTTTAATGTTTGAGGAACTGCCATACTCTTTTCATTTTACATTCCTGCCAGCAATGTGCAGGGGTTCCAGTTTTTCCACAGGCTTCCTAGCATTTGTTCTCTGGGGTTTTTGGTAATAGCCACCGTAATGGATGTGAAATGCTATCTCATTCTGGTTTTGAGTCCCATTTCACTAATGATTAGTGATGTTGAGCATCTTTTCACGTGCTGTTTGGCTATTTGTCTATCTTCTTTGGAGACATGTCTATTCAAGTCCTTTGTTCACTTTGTAATTGGATTGTTTTGCTGTTGTTGAGGTGTAGAAGTTCTTTATATATTCTGGATATTAATCCCTTACCTGATATTTGAGTTGTAGATATTTTCTCCCATCCCATGGGTTGCCTTTTCACTCTGTCGATAGTGTCTTTTGATGCAGACAAGTTTTTAATTTTGATGTGGTCCAATTTATGTTTTCTTTTATTGTGCTTTTGGTACCACATCTAAGAAATCATTGCCAAATTCAATGTCATGAAGATTTTCCTCTGTGATTTCTCCTAAGAGTTTTATAGTTTTAGATCCTATGTTTAGGTCTTTAAACCATTTTAAAGTTTGTTTTTGTTTTTGTTGTTGTTTTGGGGGGCGGTTTTTGGTATATTATATAAGGTAAGGATCCAGCTTCATTCTTTTGCATGTGGATATCCATTTTCCCCAGGGTTGGAGTTAATGTCAAGCATGAAATCATCCAGAATACCTGGCTTGCTAAAATGTAACACAGAGGCCGCCGGGGGTGATGGAAGGTTTTGGAGAAGGGTGCGGGCCTTCGGAATGCCAAGGCCCTCGTGACCACTCTGCGGTGGGAGTGCCTCGGGGAGTTGTCTTCCCCCAAACTTTCTCAGCACAAACAGCCGCCCTGTGATCTAAGAGACGTATGCATTGTCCCCTAGGCTATGTTTAGCAGAACTCGTAGAACACGCCGATTAGCATATCGTATCTTTCCTGTAAACAGATCCTCCTAGTTCCAGTAAGACCCCTTGTCACACATCACGTGCTTGAGAGACAGTGCTAAGGATATGATTATCCTGAAGGACCAATAAAAGCGGGAGCAAAGAAGGGCAAAGGGTCTTCGTCTCTGAGCGTTGACCCCCTTGCCTTCTCCTCTCTTTCACAACAACGTTTGGAGTCATCTTTCATCCATCGGTGCAGGGATTGTGGGCCATTCCCGGCATCCCAGCACCATTTATTGAGAACACCATCCTTTCTCCATTGAATGGTTTGGGCACCCTTGTTAAAAATCATTTGACCACATGTGGAAGAGTTTATTTCTGGGCTGTCAATTCCAGTGATCTATATAGGCCTGTCTTCATGCCAGTGCCATACTGTTTTGATTATTGTAGCCTGGTAGTAAATTTTGAAACTCACAAAGGGTTTTATGGCCAAGTTAACATTTGATTGCTAAGCTCTGGAAACCCATAGAAGGCCTGTAAGCAAGAGAGTGACATCATTGATGCATCGGGACCCCAGACCCCAACCTCACTGCATTTTCTTGCTCTTGCTTTTTATTTCTCTGTCCCCTCCTCCTGCCCCTAACCTGCACATCCCTGTCCTTCCACAGCCCCTGAAGAAGATGGCAGACAGAATTCGGAAGTACCAGATCTTGAACAATGAGGTTTTTGCCATCCTGAACAAGTACATGAAGTCCGTGGAGACGGACAGTTCCACTGTAGAGCATGTGCGTTGCTTCCAGCCACCCATCCACCAGTCCCTGGCCACCACCTGCTAGGTGGAAGGGCCTGCAGACCCTTGACCTGGATGAGAAGAAGAAGCAGGAGAGAGAAAGCCATGGCCAGCCTGCAACAGGGTCCGACTGGACAGCATATGGGATAAGCCTGGAAGCAAACAAGAACCTCCCCAAACACGTCTACACCTCCCGAGGGCTGGGCCTGTGCATGCTCTCCCATGACATCTCCATGGTGGTTTTTCCATAGCGTCAATGAAAAAAAAAAAAATGAAAAGAAACAGGGCAGTATGTGCTTTTTCTTTTCTTTTTTCCCCTCAGCCGTGCTAAGAGCCCTAGTTTCACCCCTTCTCCACCTCACAGCCCCACCCCACATCCATGGTTGCCTCTCAAGACCTCCTCCCAGATGGTGACCTCCTACCCAGTGCCCACGTGCCACCCCAGGAGTGAAGTCTCAGAGAAAGAGACAAGAGCGTGGTGGTATCCCGAGATAACAGCCCAGCCTGACAGGCGTGTTTCCACTTCCTGGCTTCTTCACCTCCTCTGGCTCCCTCCCCCGCATTTTCCAGGCAGCATCTCCTCCTACTCTGGATGCCGGGGATTCTACCACCCATAGTGCTTGTGGACAAGATGCTGAGAGCCAGGGGAAACAGAAGACAAGGTTCCTGGTACTGGCACCGTGATAGAAGGTGTTGGCTCTGGCCTTCCCTGGACTCCCCAAAACCACACTCCCCTCTCAGGGCGCTCCTAGAGAGAAATCAGAAATGCATTCACAACCATGTCTCACTGACTGGAATTTGGGTAGAAAGATGGTCAGGCCTGCTGTGCGGAAGCAGTATTTATTGACATAGCCAGGAATTCCATAGCCCCGAAAGCTGTGGGACCATCTCAGCTTGATGATGATGTGGTTCCTTTATTCATTCAGCAAATACTGTGAGCAGCAAGGTGCACAGGGCCGAGGACAGTGGGAACACAGCACTGAACAAGTCAGGCACGTACTGCCCACACCAGTAGCCAGTGGCCAAATTAGGGACCACTTCTCTGCACAGACTCTCTCATCAAGGAAAACTCCCACGAGAAAGAAAATGTTAAGGGGTTATTTCAACAGAAGCCCAAAACATATTGGGGTCAGGGGGGTGAGGAATATAAATAGCACTTGTCAATGAGTTTTTAATACGTGGATACACTCCCAGAAAAGGAGTCCTGTTTTAGTGAATCGGGACTTTCATTGTCGTAGAAGCTGAAAGATTCTTAGGAAATTTATCTTTTGCTCTCAACATCCTCAGTGTTCCTTAACCTAGATTTTGAGTCATGGAGCATATCTCGCAGGGGCCTGTCTACCTGCAGTTCTCCAACTGAACCAAAAGTCTTCGCAGAATCTCCCACCGAGCATGGGGAGACTGTTTAGAAGGATGGAAGCCTTTGGGAATGAATGTCTCATTAAAGAGCACCTCTTCTTCAAAGGGAACCTGTGACCCTGAGCTTGTAAGAAAATGTAAAGTGAGACATTTGGTATCTCTCCCCCAATCCAGGGAAGAAAAGAAAAGAGAGAAAATAGAAGCAACAACAATGATCCCCTCCCTCAGGGCGGATGAATGCAAATGGTTACCATTAATCAGATGGCCCGTTTTAATCCAATGGAAAGAGAAAAAACAATCCATAGCAAGAGGTTTGTGTGATACACTCTGCTCACCAGGGAGGAGAGAGGTGGGGCTCACCAAGTGTGGTCCAGAGGCCTCCATCAGGACGTCCTGAAGTTAGCCACATTTGGTGCAGATTTCTGGGCCCTCCCCCAAACCAGTTAAGTCTGCATCTCTGGGAGTCAGGTAGGGAAATCTGTACCTTCCACAAGCTCTCCGAGCTGTTCTGTTGCCCATGGAAATCTGAGGACCACTGAGAGGGTCTCTCCATCGCTAACCTGGGCTCTGAGCTCCCTCTGAGCCATGAAAGAAAATATTTGTAGGGTAGGAAAACAATTCAGGGTGGAAGCTGGCAGATCCTGTCTGGAGATGCCACTTCCTATTCTGATTTTTTGTTGTTGTTGTTTATTCCTCTTGATGACCATAGATGTGTCCCAAAGGCAGAAGGGAGAGGCTACACCACATGGTAGGACACGCCTTCCAAACCCACGTAAAAATCTCTAAGCTCCAGAGTCTTCTGAATCTTCGTCCTGTCTGAGGACAGTGGGTCTTTCAGATAGGTGACCAGCTATTAAGTCCTAGAGTTTATTCCAGATCCTTGCCCACTGCTTTTGTGGAGATTTGGATCATCCATTTGATGGGATTGCTATTTCAGCAAGCTGCCCCTCGGTCCTGCCTCTGTAACCCTGAATTTGACCCCTGGGTGGAATCCTATTATCTTCAAGAGATTTGACCCTGGTAAATTGAGGTCTTCACCTTAAGGAGAGACATTTCATTTCCCTAGCTCGCTGGCACATTTATTTATGAATACCAAACAGGTTTAATATTCTTTCCTCCCTGGTATTCCTGCCTCCTTTTGATTTGATTTTTTGTGTGTGTCTAAGAACCAGGAAAAAAAAAATCTTAGGTTTTAAAAAGTTTAAAAAAAAAATTCTGTTCCAGAAACTGTCAAATGTACCATATTTGTATTAAGAGTTGTTGGGGATTTTTGTACAATGAATTTACATTTATTTATGGTGACTTATATTTACGCTTGTGATCAAATAATGATGTTAAATTCTTAAATCATATTTGCTATGCAGCTGAAAATGATATTTTGCTTTGTATTTTGGGGTACCTGTGTTGAGTTGATAAACATTTCCATCTTCATTAAAACTGCTTCCAAACTAGCATCTTGGCCGTGATTCCTGGTCCTCCCCTGGGGCTCGTTGATCTGTGGAAGGCCGTGTGAACACTGATAACTAAGGAAACATCCTGAAGAGAATGGAAGGAGATAGGGTAGAGCAGGTCGGTGCATCCTAAACTAATGGCTTGTTGTGCTTTCTCGCTGGGGCATTACCTTTACCAATTGATTGACACTGGACGAGATTCAGGCAGTAGCTCTGAGTGATCCCTAGTCTCAGAGGGAGGATGGGAACCAGTATTTAATGAGGTCTGATGTACGCAGGCCCCAGGCTAAATCCCATTCCTCCCTTCTGTTGTATCAGCTGCAATCACTTTATATGTTATTTCCCACCTTCGAGAGAGAGGCTCTGTGGTGTATTTATTTTCACACAGTAAGCGATGATTCTGATCATCGATTTCACACAGTAAGCTCGCACATTGTAACGAACTGATCAGCCAGGCCAGACCCCGAAACTAGACTTAGGGCCACTGGACTTTTCAGGGCTTTGGGTGAGTAAGATGGAGCAGAGCCTGGTATCAGGAGGAGGCCCAGCATGGCGGCAGGGAAGTTTCCAGGCTGACGGTACCTCTCACCCTCATCAGAAAGGATGACACCAGAAGAACACGAGAAGGTTGTATTTAAAACAAGCACCAGGGCTTGGAGTCTCACATTTTACGCAGCGGCAAGTTTCCCAAAGACCATCCACAAAGATGAGTCCTAGGGCATTAGTGACTCCCCTTGGCTGTGGCCTTGGGCAGCCAGCCCTATCATCTCTCAGGGCCTTGGTTCCCTCTTCCTCAAGTGGGACAAAATAATCTGAGGTCCCTTCCAGCCCTACTACCCTGATCGTTGGTAATGTCCCAGTGGGGTACTTTGAGGGGCCTGACTACTTCACAGACTTGAAAGCTTTTCCAGCCATGTGTCACCACCTCCAAGGAGTCTTATCATTACAGGTTGTATATTTGAGCTGCTGTAGTTGGGGTGCAGTTGGTATTAGCCCTGAGAGATGCTCAGTGAAAAGAGGGTTCCGTGGTCACATGGATTTGGGGAATGCCTCCCTGCTCTTTCCCTTCTTGAAGATCTGTAGTGCTCTGAGTCCTGCAGCACTAACCAGCCTGGAATGGCACCCCATCACCTAGTGGCCATGACTTCGGAAACCCCTTTCTCTGCAGCACTACTGATCCTCTCATGGAACATGCTCTGAAAAATACTGGGCTGAGAACATAGAAATCCACGTTAGATGTATACAAACAACAACAACACAACTCCCAAGGGAGAAGGGCCACTGCCTCAAAGGCAGTCATAACACCTGGGCACAATCAGGGAAGCAGGGACCTGGCAAGGATTGAAGGGTTTCAGTTGAAAGAGGGAAGTCATTTTCATGATGGGAGAGAATAGGGTAGCAGAGCATATTCATTTGCCAGGGCTGCCATTACAAAATACTGCAGACTGCATGGTCTAAACAGACTGCATGGTCTAAACAACAGAAATTTATTTTCTCACAGTTCTGGAAGCTAGAAATCCACGACCACGGTGATATCAGGGTTGGTTTCTTCTGAGCATCCCTCCTTGGCTTTTAGACGCTGTCTTCTCCCTGTCTTCACACGGTCTTCCCTCTGGCTGTGTCTGGGTCCTCATTTCCTCTTGTAGTAGAACACCAGGCATATTGCATTCGGACACATTCATACGACCTCATTTTACCTAATGTACCTTGTTAAAGGCTCTATTTCCAAATACAGCCCCATTCGGCGGTACAGTACTAAGTGTTAGGATTTTAACATCTGAAGTCTGGGGAGTGGGGGTGGGGGACACAATTCGGTCCATAACAGTGGAGAAGAGAAAGGCTAGATCTGAAAAAGCCTCTGTCTCTGGGGGCCCTGAACTTGTTTGAAGGCTGGGATACTGTTGCTTTGAGAAACACATCTTGAATACTCACTATTTGCAAGACTCTATATTAAAGATTAAAAATTGATCATAGCCACAGACCTAAAGGAACTCCTGGAGTTGTAGGAGGGATAAAAAAAAAATGCATATAGTGAATAAAAATGTGAAGGAGATAATATGGTGATTCTAATGACCCCTAGCAATTATTGGGCTTCCTCATGGCAGGCATCGGAAAAAGTGCTATAAACTCTTTGTTCACTTAAATGTCACAACTTGTAGGAAGTGGGTACTGTTATTTACCCCCATTTTACAGATATAGATACTGAGGCACAGATCTCAAAGAGGGTAAAGGAGCTAGAATTCAAAGTCCAGTAAGTCTGGATCCAGGTCCAATGTCTTAACCCCTAAGCATGTAACAGTATGCTTGCAGGCACCTCTATCCTAAGGGATCCCGAGAGACGGTCACACAAAGTGTTTCTCAAGATCAGAGGAAGGAGAGTATTCTTCCAGCTGAGGTAAGATAGAGTAAGGGCAATATCAGGGAGAACTTCATGGAAGAGGTTCCATTTCTGCCTCAACTTGAAAAAAAAATGAGCATCTGAATGCAAGGAGATGCAGGCACCAAGATACTGAAGAGAAAGAATCTTCCAACATCAAATATTGGCCAAGAAAGGGCCCTGACCAGCTTAAATCAGATTAAACATGCTCCTGCCCCTAGCCCTACACTTTACCAGGCCCTGAACATCACAGTCCTACAAAACAATGCATTTATTAGGTAGCATTATGCATCTGCATCCCTCGAAATCCGATGCTCAGTGTGGGCCCAGTGCAGCCTATAATCCTAAACATCTACCCTGTGACCAATGCTGTTCAGGCCCCCGTAGAACCTTCTCCCTTATTTCTTGCCCACGTCCTTGACTGCAGTGACCTCCAAATGTAATGAAAGTTTGTGCATTGTTCTGCCACTGATACCAGGGATGTGTCCTGCTTGGAAAGTGTGGAAGCTTGAGCTGTAGAGGCACATAGGTGAGGGAAGAGGGCAAGCCTATGAGAATGCCAACTTTAACCAAAAATCCAGGAGCATTTCTGTGTCCCATTATGCACACAGCTTGAATTTGTTACTAGGGAACATGGGTGGCAACTGTGCCTCTAATGAGGTCACCTTTTTTGAAACAAAAAAAAGATTATATACGACAGTGTATGGAACTGTTGTTCAAAGACAGAATGTTTGATGAAACACATATCAGATTTCACATTATAACCACTTTCAGACACTCAGTAGAACTGCTGACAAAATGCTGTTCAAGTTATTTGATTTAGTTTAGATAAGATAAAAGACGCACTAAAAATTTAAATAAAGGCACAGAAGATCCTCAAAAAAGTGAGTAGCAATCTTAAGAGACAATAAAATTCATTTTGAATTTACACTATTGTTATTTAGTCTGCACTATTGTTTACTATTATTAACATTACCCAAAAAAATCAGTGGCATCCAGGTCTAATTTGCTTCAAGGGGACTCAAACTTTTTTACAAATTTTAGAGAAATTGGCTTTCCTAAATGAAAATGCATGTGAAGTATGTGACAAAAATGCCATTCCAATGAAATAGAAATCGAAACAGTGAAACAAAAAATATTTTGTGTGACTAAGAAGATTCACATGCAAACAACGCCAAATAACTTGTTTTTACACACTATTTTTTGGCCATCGTAGGTCAAAGTATAGTGTTGAGGAAGACCAGAACAAACTGAGCCACAGGCCACTTTTAGGGAGGTTTCCTTACAATATCCCAGAAACGAAAAATTTGAAATAACAAGAAATACTGTATGCTCCAGATTCTGCTTTAAGAGACAGTGAAAATTATATCGTAAGGGATATTTATATAATAAAATGAAAATATTTCATATTTTCTGTTATGATAATTATATGTGACCCCATACAGTAGTTGAATGTGATATGTAAAATATCTTATTTTTTAATCTAAGTATTGCTTAAAAAATCCTATTGATAATTTCAGGTGCCATCCTCTTATCAGAGCAGAATTTCTTCAAACTAAAAATTAATGAAAACCAAAGAGTTACAATGACTCAAGAAAGGTTGTCTGATCTGGCGTAACTGACACTAGAACACAAATGATATAAAACTCCTGATCATACAGAGATCTTGAGTGTTCTCACCACACCAAAAATGGAAAGGTAACCTGTGAGATGATGGATGAGTTAATTAACTTGGTTGTGATGATCGTTTCACAGTGAAGACACATAGCCACACATCATCTTGTACCCCTTAAATATATACAATTTTTATTTCAATTGTATCTCAGTAAAGCCAGGGGATGGGAGGTGTTGACTATAATGTCTAATATTGCTAAAAGGAAGGCAAGAAAGGTAAAATTTATAGTATAAATATATATTGATTTACGAATTTGATTTACGTCTTTGTGTTACCCATCCACACACCACCGGCCCCACAACAGAACATCCAGGAAAATGCAGTGGTAATGAATTCAGCCATCTTTGATATTTTGGCCAGCTTCCCATCATGTAAAACCCACAACTTGACATGTATCTTCTTTTGTGTTAGAAAGGTATAGTTCATTGTCAGGAAGACAGAGCATATTTTCTAACAGTGTAGTAGTGTGATTTAGAACTTCTATTCAGAGACATATGATATTTGGTACCTTCGACCCAGACCCTGCTGATGGTTGGAGGACTCTGTCTCTAGTTGCTCTAATGTGAATAAAGCCAGAAGGGGAAAAGGCCAAAGACACATTTGCTTCCAGGCAAGGAGGAGAGTAACGAGCCCCGCAAGCCAGTCCCCACATCCCCATCTGGTTTGATTTACTCTGATTGCCTCAGCCCACTCCCGCCTTCCCAGATGCTGCATTGTCTCGCTAGCCCAGAGCTTCCGGCAGAATGGGGAGAGTGGAGGGTTTCCCTGGGAAAATATGCGGTGAGATGCTATCAGAGCTAAAAATATGCAGCCCCTAAGCTCCACCTTCATTAGTCAGAATAAAACCCAGGGATTTCTGCCTTCTGGGGTTTCAGACCAACAGGAAAAGGGGGAAATCAAAGAGCCTCCTGGTTGGGGCTTTTCTTAAACACTTTCTGGCAAGGAGCCA